TCGCGGGGATGCGCACAATCGTCGTCGGGGCGGCCGCCCCGAGTCCCGCGATCGCGTGCGCGCTCTCCGCCGCGCCGGGCTGGATGGAGATCGCGCCGTGCTCGCAGTCGAGGACCACCCAAGAGAGGTGCGGGGAGGACGCGGCGGCGGTGCGCGCGGAGAGCACGCCCGGGAGCGTGATCCAGGCGCCGAACGCGGGCTTGGACGCGCGGAATGCGGTGAGGAGGGGGTGCGTGAGGCTCGCCATGGGGGATATGTGGGGGATCGCGCTGGGTGATGGTGAACTACTGATAGGGAACCGGTTTATGCCTACCTAAGATTGACATTAGTGCATGGTGTATCTGGTGTAGCCGGGCTACTACTGACTCACGGACAGAGTCTGAGGTTGCAATGTGTTTCTTACGGCGCACACTCGACTGTCGCAGTGAGAGCGTGAAGCGAAAGCACGAGTGGCGGTCGAACTGGCTCCCTTACTATCGCATGGCGTAGCTCGCCATCTCACGGTACCGCCGTATGCGGGGAGCCGGTAGAGTTGGGGAAGCAGATCATGTGTTCATGCACCGTCCCGCTTTAGAGCACAAGTGCGCACGGCGCCCTCTGGCGTAGTGCGTGCCATGAGATCGGATGACTTCACTAACGCGTCCCGGGCCGATGCGAGCGGTGCGCCCAATATTACTAGTCATTGGTCACCGGGAGGACCGAGGTAAGAAGTCGAGCAAGCCCAGCATGTCTTGATATGTACCGTGCACTAACGATGCTCAAAGTCGGACGATGGACGGGGAGCAAGATCCAGATGCTCAGAGTGCGGACAGTCTAGGAGCGCAAACGACATCCTATTTTACCGGACCACGGCGTGGAAGGTGTAGCGAGCTGAATGACTGTTAACAATCGCTAGAAAGTGGTCCTGTGTTTGGTCGGCAACGTGTTCGCCCTCTGGAGTGGGCGGTAGGTGAGCGATTTGACATACGAAGAACGACGCACCATAGATTGCCGCGGCCGCCGAAGCTTAAGATCTAGCTGAAGTTGCCTGTATGAATATCATCCTGCGCTGCAGGATCAGAGTAGACCTCGCCGGGTACACTAGCAGAAAATGAAGCGGCAGCGAGACCCCAAAGCAATGAATGGGGGTCGCATGGGGTGCAAGCTTCATACCCAAGCTATACAAGCCAGCATTTGAGCTTAAGTAGACATCTTTGGAGGGTGGGTGACGACATATCGCTCGACATGTCGTCTTCTACGACGTATACCCACGCGCGTGGTGCGCCACATTGCTGATGTGGGGATGGCTGTCCACCAAGCTCCGAGGGATTTTGACATGGAGGTGCAGCTGACCGCCCGCCCATGCCGTGTATATGGTTACTGCGTGCGAAGGTAAGTGTGGTAAAGCGGTGATGTGCACCTGGAGCTCAGCAGCTGCTCTCGCAGGTCGCGAACGGAGCGTACTCTCGGTGAACAATGATACGATCTGGCTCGAGAGCCAGCTATCTACCTGCGAGCCTATTCCGGGAGTCCGAGACATGAAATAGACCCGAGGCATTGTGGCACGCAAGTAGAGTGGATCTGGCCAATCGCGGCGTAGCGGAGCTCGTCGAACTTCTCTTCTACGCCGATTTTGAAAAGAAGCGTAGCCGGACATGAGCTGGGCCAATATTGGGAGCGCCAGGAACATATATTGCGTGCTGGGGGTAAAACCGGGGCTACATGGATGGCGCAATGCGATCAGACACAGCACTGTGGTATCCGAGTATCCCGGAGAGGCATGTGGGGTGTCGAAAAGATGGACGCGTTATATATACATGTCCGGAGAAGAGCAGAAGGCGAACGTTTGAAGACGAGCGATCACGCACGATGGTGTATCCGGCTGGTTTGTGCGAGAACAGGCCAACGTGCCCACTCACAATTAGACAAGAGAGCGCGGTGGCGGTGGGCAGGTGCTTCACGTGTGTTCTGGAGGTGTTTGGAAGGCCATGCGCAGGGCACGAGAATGATGAAGGGAAGCCAAGAGAGCGGAGAAAGGTTAAAGGAGGCTTGCGGGGGGGCGCGCGCAGGCTGGGAGACACGTCCCATGACGCAGGCACGTCGCAATCGAGCGCAAGAGCCGGGGCGCGGCACGACCCCAGCAGGCGAGGGTACTAGTAGTTCCGGGCAACAGGGAGGGTACTCACCCACAACACACATCCTGCCACGCACGCCCCCGCCCACGACCCGCCCGCTGGCCGTCCCGCGCACGGAGAGCGAGCACAACGACCTGCCCAAGCTGCTCACGAAACTGAAGAGGATGGATAGTCAGGATACGGCGGTGTCGCCAAGCAGGCGGCCGTCGTGGAAAGGCGCGCTAGGCGCTAAGATCCAGAGGATCCTGTCGACGGGCGAGGAGTCGACGAAGGACGAGGAGTCGACGCTCGCGGGGGAGGACGTGTCGTCGCTGAAGAGCTGGCCTGCGCGAGGGAGGGGGAAGGTGAGGGAGAGAAGAGAGAAGGTGAGTAGCCTCGTTGTCGACAGCGAGCCTGGGGAGATAAGGAGATAAGCCCTCACTCGGTCGTTCTGTACGGCACTCCCAAAGGCTGTCTTCAGCAGGCGATCCCAAGCCTCTGGGTGAGCATCGGTGAGCGGGAGAGAGAGAGCGACGGCACTGGAAAGGCTATCCGCCACACATCAAGCGCCCGCACCCTATGACGTCGTTTCTCTCGCGTTGCCTCTCTGCTCTGACTGCTCTCAGTCGCTCGACCGCTTTCTTGCTCGATCGCCCGTCGCTTGCCTCTGCCACGCCCGCCTATCTAGTCCGTCCACCGACTGTGTCCTGCCTAGTGCTTGCTGCCTCTCACGTGCGCTCTCTCTCGCGTCGCCTCCCGCAATCGACCACAGGCGAAAGCGCACCTTCTACACACGACCGCACGGCTCTGCGAAACGTGCCATCCTGCTGTTCTCGCACTAGGCACTCTGCCGGCCTCCTCCCTCCCCCTCCACGACCTCCTGCACCGTCCTGCGCTCGCCGTCCCTCGCGATCTCTGCACAGCGCGATGCATGCGACTGCGCGCTCATGGCATGTGCGTCCCCGCCCTCGCCCGTCAACATTTGTGCTCACGGTGTCCGATATACAGCCCGTCTGCACCCTCAATCTCACATGCCCGCGTCCAATCGCATGCGACAGCTTCCCATTGATGTCCCGGTCGTGCATGCGTATGGCCCCGACCTGCCTACGACTTCATTCGGCGTGCGGAGGAGAAGCCGTCTGTAGAAGGCTGCACCATTCCATACTTGCCCACCGTCCACGCCGCCACCTAGGCTGCACCGACGCGTGCGCGTCTCGCACGCCGAGGCAGCGACCGTCCTATCGATCCACCTGGTAAGTTCACAGGCTCGCCAGACGCAAACTGAGCTGACAAAGTTCGATTTATAGGCCGTCCGCGCTACAAAATCGAAACACCTGCTCCCCATTGCGCAGTACACGCTGGGTGCGTCGTGAAATATGTGCGCATAGACCGTCTTGACGTGCCCGCAGAGTCGTTCACCACGACTCGCAGAACTACGCCCGTGACGTCGTCGACACTCCGTGCCCGCCCACGCGCTCGCCCGCAAGACCGACCTTCAACGCCCACGCCCCGCAACGCTTATACGCGAGGTACATGCTTATCACACCTTGAAGAGCGTGTACGCGCATGCGCGGAGCTGCCGCGGACGTTCTACGCGCGGAGTGCTGTCCGACTCGCACTGCTACCCAGAGAGTCGTCTGCCCCTCCCGCCATCGCAGCGCTTCGCGGGCACGTCGCGACTGTATGCTGAACGGCAGAGGTGATATTGCTCTCGTATACAGTGTCGTTTCAGCTCTCTCTGCCGTGAACTGCGCTAACGAAGTCGTTTTTTCAGAGCGCCCGCGGACAAAATTTCGCGTAATCGACTCAGAAACCTCTGCAGAAGCCTACAAGCACCCTCTACACTGCCATGTGACCATTCACTGCCATCCCCGATGCTGTCGAAGGCCCACAACGGCACCAGGCCTGTGCACGCTGCGGCGCCGACATCGACAGCCAGGTCCGCGCACATCACCTCGCAGGCCGGTCCGCGCTTCCTACACACATCAGGCGCGTACGGAGCATACACACGACGCACTCCCTGCGCGTACAACTCCGTCGTGCACGTTTGGCGTGTCCCGCGCCGCCGACACTGCAGGCCCGCCGTCCCCTTCCCGACCTTCTCGCGCTCCGCCATCGCGCCCGAAAGCCTTTCTAACACGACGTAGCACTCCCACGCACCAGGACGCATACACCCACGACGTTTCGCGGCGATCCGAGGAGGTCAAAAATGGTTCATGTTCGGTGATTTCATTGGCGCCATCAGCAACGACATCACAAATTTCCCCCTCGCGGTCGCCCCTCCCGTCCGTTTGCTACTAAACTTCGCAGATACGTGACGGCATACATCTCGCATTGTCTCCCGCCGCGTGCGAACGCGTACGACAAGATCGCCACTCGAACTCTCCGCGGCGTCCCGATCGACATTGCGTCGGCGAGCACCTCTCGACATCGCCCCCTCGTGCTGGCGAGCCCCGCTTTCAACGCCGACTAAGTGGGAAGCATGGACACGACATCCGCGCTGTGGCGAGGACGCCAACGCGTGCGGAACGGCCTTCGCGAGGTACGCCATCACCTCGTACGCGCCCCCTGTCGGCCCGCTCGCGCGCTGGCATCGCAACCGGGACGCACAAGAAGAAGACGGCGCGCTCCTACAAGCCCAGGCGCACCCCGGGAACAAGTCTCGAAGCGATACGAGGAGGTCAAAATTGTCCCATGATGACGATTTCATGGACGATCCCGCGGTGAAATCGACAAAAACGCGCGTCCCCGCACGCCCACGCCTCCTCTTGCGGCGTCATCTGGCACACGCCCTGCTGTGCACCTCCCGCGCACTCCCCCGCTGCAATCGAGCGCGTAGGGCGGGTTTGGGCGTTGGGGTCTCGCGGCGAGGTGCGGGGGGACCGCGTCGTCGAACACGGCGAGACGGCTCCGGCGCGGTCCACCGAGCCCCGCACGCGAAGGGCTGTGCGCACGTACCACAGAGCGGGTATACGCGCCGCACAACCATCGTCCGCGTTCGGGGAGACGACGTGGAGGCCGCGAGAGGTGCGCGAGGTGCGCGGTCGCCCCGTCTCGTGCGCGCCCGGTGTCCACCGTGTGCCGCTGACCTACCCTCGGGCGGCGCACAGGCATCGCGGCCCCACGGGCGGGCGTACGAACAGGGCGACAGCACCCGGTTGACGGGGCGACGCGGCAGGCGTCGCCGGCCTCGTCCTGCCGCGCGAGACAGCCTCCCTCGGTTCTAGCCATGTACATAGTTACATAGCATCTCAATATACCCCTTTCCCGCCACCCTGCCCGCCATCCGACGTCCCGCCGCGCCGTCTCCAGCTCGCGCGCCCGCCGTCGTCTTCGTCGAGATGTCACGCCGGTCGTCCGTAGCGGGAGCGCGTACCGACGGGTCACTGCACGCGCCTGCCGTATTCCAGGTCAGTCCTCTGTGCCTTCACGCGAGCTCCGGGACGCTGCTTACCTTCCAGTAATGCAGTCTGGACTCAGCGGCCGAGTGCACTGCTTGCGGGGAGATGTAAGCGGCCCCGGCGAGGACGTTCTGGAGAGGTGAGTGGCAGTTTCCGCGAGGGGGCAGAGGACGAGCTGACTCACGGTGTGCAGCATAGTCCCGCGGGACATACCGCCTCGAAACACCCTGGCACGCTCTCGGACGAGCCTGGCTTGCGACAAACGAGTCTCTGAGCGCGTCTACGTCCCGCGAGAGGCCGTGCACGAAGCACACGCAGGCGCCGCGCGTGCGGGGGCGTATTGGACTCGTACCATGATGTACGACTCGGAGCCGCTGTCGTGCATCTGCGCGCGACCGCGCTGCCGCGATCTCATCGTCCCGCCCTCATCCGCTGTGGCACACACCTGCATGGTAATACTATCTCGGCCCCACCCCGTCTGTCCAAGTCGTTCCCGCCGTGTTCCCTCCTTCGTGGAGGGAGTCATGCCTCGGTGCCGTTGCCGTTGCGATGTCGCTCTAGAAACAACAAGGTCAGCGTGATCTTATGAGCTACTCCGGGTGCTGTACTCACAGCTGTGCGTCGTAGGCTGTCGTAGGTCCCGCGAATGCTGGAGAATGTGACGACGGCGCGGTACGCGCGGCGTATGGCAGATGCAACGTGGTAGTCTCGACGGGGAGGACCTGGTGATGGAAGAAGTGAGTATTCGGAATGCAGGTAAGTGGCTCGCTATTTCGACTCACTCGGGATGTCCTGCAGCACGAACAATGCACTGGTGGTCATGCTCATGATCGTCTTCGGCGCGTGCATCGCATGCCCCGGGATACGTCGTGCTGGATGGGACACACTGTTAATGGCAATCAGTGAGCGTGCTGATATACCGCACTCACCGGGTTCTGCAGGAAGCATCAGCTTCCGGTGTGCGGCCCAAGCAGCCTGCGGGTATGGTCGGGACACATCGCACTCAGAAGGGAGGATGATGGTGCGAGGAGGAGGGCCAATGGAGTGCGGCGGCGAGGGGCGGGGATGCGGGCGGCGGCGAGTACGAGGACAAGGGCGACTCGGAAGCGAGGACGAAGAGGGAGAAAGGTGAGTACGCCCGCGTTGCGCACACACCCGTATTTATCCCATCGTAGTTTAGGGCCGTCTTGCTCTCTACTGCGGTGCCATGGTCCGTGCGGCGACCATCTACCGAGGCCAAGTGATCCTCCGTCCTATGGAAACGGATGCTTACAAACGCGGCACACCAGCCTTACGAGACGACCGGACGACGTCGCCGAGCCTACTGCATGGTGAGCCAACCATCGAGCCACACGACGAGCCGAGTGCAACGGGGTGGGCGGGGATGGATGCACACGGACATGTCGCGGGAGGGTGAACGTACCTACGCGGCGCGGTGTGCTTCTGAGCTGGTCTCGAGGGACCGCGGCGCTCGCTTCGTATAGTGGGCGCTCGGTACGCAGATGTCAAAGTGTTGCCCTCGTTTCAGACGCGTACGGGCGCCGCCGTCGCGGACTTGATGAATGTATCCATCATCGTGTCCCGGATTTCTGTATCGCAGAAGGCTGGACCGGCGGTGCTGGGAGGCCCAGTAGTGTCGGAGCCACGGCGAGTGTACGACCCCGAACTTGCAGGTATACACCCGTATCATTCGTAGACACTCGTGTAAAGTTGGCAGCAATATATGTGTCTGGAAGATACAGGTCAGCGCCGCAAATGCAAGCCCGGATGGGCGATCGTGCTCGCCTGCTCACGGACGTAACACATTTGCGCGTACGTTATGTGCACGGAACACGGAGTCAAATCTAGAACAGGCTACGAACCGTCAGTGGGTCGAGAACCGCGATGCGATGCAAGAACGTACATGCTATTGCGAACATGGTGCCGGGCTACCCACTCGACCCTGAATATTCGGCAGCCCAAACGTCTGGTAAGGATGATAGATGCGCAATGTGATCCCTGCAGCTTCGGAAAGCACTCACCAAAAAGTGTGGGTATGTCGCCTGCGATATGGAGACACCAGAGGTGTAAATCATAATAATCTGCTGTCAAGATTGCATAGCTCAGCTCTATGGAGGGTAGATGAGACTAGCAGTATTCGCACCATATCTGTGCGCCAGCGACATATCAGCACAACGTACTCAGTGCGCAGGGCTAGCATACGCACGCGCCAGGGTTCCCGAAAGCGTACAAGAATCAAAGTCAGACATTTTCACAGAAAGTGACATAACACATACCAGACGCGTTGGATAGAGAAGCGGCCGCCCACAGATCTTGTTCCCTTCACAACTACAAAGCCCTACGTGGCTGCTTGATGCGACTTTATCCCGAAAATATAATCAAATTAGATCCATGCACGAAATGGTGGAATCTGTGGCATGTTCAGATTGCTGACTCTCGAGGAATCGCTGGTACGAGCCGCCGAGTTTCGGGAGACCTCAGAAAACAAGTAGAATACCGGAATCACTTCCAGTGGACCAGGAAGCATCGTTGGAAGGCTCGTTATATGATACACCACAAATATACAAGAATACCTTGCTTTGAGCCTGCTGCCGAAGCCACCAGAGGGCGTGTTCGAGTGCTGGGTTGCACGCGCGGGATACTTGGACTCGGATGACGGGACGATCGATCCAAGAATGGGCGCGCGCATAGTGCTTCGAGTTCGCGTACATAGCCAGCCTCATGCAAGGGTCTCTAAAGAACAGAATGTACTTCCGGCAGTCCACAAGCAAAGAGACGAAGTCGTACAGAGAAGACGAACATGACCGTCGAGAGAGTGCAGTGATGGCCGCGCGCACATTGGGCGGCTCTGTTCCTTCTTACCCAAAAAGGCAGGCAGGTGGCCACACTCACTCACCCGGACCCTGTGCTTGCACACCGTCTTGCCTTTCTCCGCGGCCGCGACCTGCTCGACGAATTCGTAGCATGGTCGCACGGCGTTCAGTATCGACTCGCGGCAAGCCCACGAGTGACGTCTTCGCGAATCTCGACTACAGGGTCAAGCGAACGCAGCGCCCGCGAGATCGGAATCATATCTGAGATCTGAGGGACGTGTCCCGAACCGTCGCATGGGGAGCCTTAGTGTATGTAATTACAGAGTCACACCATCTCTTTGAATAATGAGAACCCCATAATGTTGTGATGCATGAAATGCAGAAGTGTAAGGGGTCAGGAAAAAGAGAGCGAGCAGTGCCCTGCTGCACACTCTGGTCTTCCTGCTCCTTCCACTTCTGACCAAGTGAGAACATGCAGAAATGTAGGCGGGCCCTGCAGAGCTTGCCGGAGTATGTCTGTGTGAATAACCGAACCATGGGCCTAGAGCCATGGTCATTTTTGTGTGCATCAGAACGTAAGAATAAGATATGTTCCCCAGAAGTAAGGATACTCCCAGAGCGACCAGATGCCCGATCACGCTGTATCCACAAACCCAGAGATACTATTGGTGGAATGTACAGGGCGATACAGCTACGTAAAGGGGAGCATCAGACCGGACAACCCCCGAAACACCCGCTGCTTCACGACACTCGCGCCGCGCGTCCTTACGCGGCACAGCTCGAGATCTCCGCGTCCAAATTGCCCGCTCCGTCCGCACCACACCCAGCCAGGGCCAGACCCACCGTGCCTTGTTTGACATGCCCACCCGCCCTCGCAACGTCCGGAGATTTCGCTTACACACATCCTCTCTCCATGCTCCTCCCTTCCCTGCCGCCACCACTCGTCTCATGTCCCAGCATCATCCTCCCATCCTCTGCACACTCATCCGTTCGCTGGACACACCCTATCTGCCACAAGATGGCTGCTGCAAGTTTTAGAGCACGAGGCGAGAGGAGGTGAGTACATGGG